AAACGGCTTCCACATATGAAGGTCGGTTGAAAACTTCATAGGCTGATCAAGATACACTCATGGAATCTGACCAAATGAGATTTATTTTTCAGCATAATCCTCCGTGTGGAACACACACTTCTTCTTCCATTGGTCTTGCAGTGCTTCGTGAAGAAATTTTCATCCTGTTGGTCAAAAAGTCAACAACAACAGATATGACGTCATCATCACTGCACTACTGGTTCCCAGCCAAGTGTTTTTTTGTTTGTTTTTTTTTTTTCATATTGGGGAACAGATGATAGTCAAATCAGGAGAATTTAATTTTCTGTAATCCACTCCTACCTTGCTTGGGGTGAAATGATTATATAAAAAAAGCGTAAATGAAGGTCGATTGAAAAGTTCATAGGCTAACCAAGATACTCTCATGGAATCTGACCAAATGAGGTTTATTTTTTAGCATAATCCCCCGTGCGGAACACACACACACACACACACACACACACACACACACCTTCCATCGGTGTTGCAGTGCTTGTTTACCATTGGTGAAGAAGTTTTTTATCATGTTGGTTAAAAAGTCACAGCGATACTGGTTTCCAATGAAGCGTTTTGTAGTATTGGGGGGAAGATGATAGTCAGATGGGCCCAAATCAGGAGAATATGGAGAGTGATCAACCATCTCAAAGTCACAGTCAAGCACAGTAGCCATTAAGACCAAGGACTTGTACGCTAGTGAATAATCCTGACAGGACCACTTTCGTCACTTTTCCTAGACATTTAATCTTAAAAGCCTTTCGTAATTGATTCAACATATGGGTATCGTAGTCTCGACTGATGACATAACTCTTTTGAAAATAGTCAATAAACACAAGGCTTTTTGCATCCCCAAAACATAGGTCATCACTTCCTTGCAGGTGAAACAACCTTGGCTTTCTTTGGAGCAGGTGAAGAGTGGTGTTTCCACTGCATGAATTGTCTCTGTCTGAAAGTAATGAACCCAGCACTCATCTTGGAATAGGAATCATTCAAGGAAACCAGCTGAATCTGCCAAAAACGATGTCAGATTTTTCTGTGATGTGATCTTTCTGCTGCGATTTTGATCAGGTGTCAGAAGACGTGGCAATCACCGATTATTAACCTTCGTCATGCCAAGTACCTTGTTCCGAATATTGTCAACTTTCTCATGGAATATGCTAATAGCATTGGCTATTTGATTTATAATCAAGCGCCTGCCATCCATCACCATGTGATGGACACGATCAATGTTTCCTTCGGTGGTAGTAATTGAAGAACGAGCAGACCTTGGGTTATTTTCAAGACTCTTCCTCCCCCTCCTAAATTCAGCTGCCCACTTTTGCACTGTTAATAAAGCTGGGTCGCCATCCTCTAATGTAGCAAGCATGTCAGCATGAATGTCCTTGCAGGCTAAATCCTTTTTTTTTCTACAGGTACTTCATAACACAACGATGCCAAATGGCGTCCATTTTCAGGTGAAGTAACTAGTTACATTTGAAGTGTTAGTGAAGCGGTCAGATATCAGTTTACCTGGAAATAAATGATGCAGTTTATTAATAAGAAGAGTTGAAATTAAATCGTGAAAAATCTCATAGCTCTGGTGTCACTCATTCATAGACAGCCTATGAACATTTCAGCCCACCTTCGTATTTCTGAAATACAATATGTAAACATCTGATACCCTGCAATGCAGAACATTCACCAACACGTGAAAAATTTTAATCATTAGAAAAATAAACAAATAAATGGTAGAGAGTGGAAAGTAATTATCATTGGGCATCAAAACGAAACATGGTTGAGTAATTTGATAAGGTCCGCAGACGGTAGAGCTTAATTTTCATGTTACGACAAGAGTGTCATCCTTGATATGGGGATTGGCATAAAAATGAAAACCAAGAAAATTAAGAAAACTGTTTAGTTTGTTATAATAGATGAGGAGGGTTTGAGTAGCCTTTCATTTGACCGTAAATTGTAGCGCATAATTAATCAATTGTTAGAGGAAGGCAAAGTGTTTCTTTATAAAAAAAAAAGTTCCTCCCTCAATTTTTCTTTTAGTGAGAACTTTTGCATCTTATTGAGCACGCGGGTCTGAAACTGCTAGTAATTGGAAGTCTCATTCTCTCACTTACTCCCTCTATCTTCCTCACAGATATATAGCCGGTAAAATTTCCTTACTAAGGCCAATAAAAGCAGCCAGTTCAAACTATATGCATTACGCTGTTTAACACCATGCGCAGGTACATCTCTTCCGGAGAAAAGATATTTAATTCGATTTCTTCAAGAGGCAGATACAGACCAACTTTAATATCTTGGACGCAAGTGACGATACAAACGACTCTGTCCACGACCTAACAATGACAGCGATCCCCAATTTTGAGCTATTATGACGATCATCAGCTGTACGAAGAAGTTGTTGGTAAATCTCCAGACCTACAGTTACATACCCGACAGCAATATATTATGACGTCACGCCAACATCTCAAACCGGTTTTATGTCTATTATTGTATTTCATGTTTCTTAACTGGCTGCAGCAGATCCCTCCAAAATCAAGCAGAATATCTTACGGATGTTTTGGTTTGAGTGGACGATGTGTCTGAGAGTTGAAGAGCGATTAAGTAAGATCAAGTCTCCTTAATATCCTGACATTCTTCTTGGCAATCTCGTCGTCATCTGCATGATCTCAATATTTCCTTGGATTTCTGACTTTTAGAAACGTTATTTTGAAGTTCTACATCGACGACGGATACCACTCCTACCTTTATGTTTCATAATTTTTTCATTTCTATTTTCTTACAATTTTACTTTGTGATCTGCTGAAACAGCAACTTTCTCCACCTGACATATTTTCTCCTTGGTTACGATGAATAAATTCAGTCTTCTCAAATAGGTCTCGCCTTTGAATCACAAAATCCTAAATTTTATTCTCTTTGAAATAATCTGGTTTCAGCATATAACATCATCATCATCATCATCATCATCATCATCATATTATTATTATTATCATTATTATCATTATCAGTTCTTCTTCACTCTTTCAGTGTTCATATTAGAATTAACTGCTGACTTACACTGGAGATTAAGTGAGAAGAAGAGAGAGAGAGTGTGTGTGTGTGTGTGTGTGTGTGTGTGTGTGTGTGTGTGTGTGTGTGTGTGTGTGTGTAATGAGTGCACGCCCGCAATTTTCGACAGATTTGCACCAAAATGTACATGCACCTGCTCCAAGTTAGTGGGAAGGCCAAGACCGACTCTGCATTTCCCAACTCCCATCGATAGTGGAAATAATCGATTTTTTCATGCTTCTACGGCAGTTTTCATGTAGTTTGTTGCCATTTTCTACTGACCAGAGTGAGAGCCAAAAGCTGGGTGCCACGAATAGGCAGAAAGATTCTATCGGCCAGCGTGAGAGCCAACAGCTGACTGACACGAATGTTAAATAGCATGCAAAAATAATCGATAGCTGCATTCGTCCCAAGAGAGAAAAATTTAAATCTGCATGACACTTTACTCCAATTGGCTCATTCGCTTGCTTAAACTCAACGTTGATTCTGATTCCGCAGAACTGGGTTGGATGTGAAAAAGTATTTGTTGTTAACATTCTTTTTTTTTCATTCGGTTTTTCCAGCTACGAGTCCTTTTTTTAAAGCTGATCGTTTTGTGTTCATTTTGTTTAGTTCTTTTTTCGTAACACATTTAATGTTTAGTATAGAGCTTAGAAAAAATTCGCAGTGTGAGATAGGCAAGAAGTATGTCATGTAGCAAAATCAGCACGGCAAAGGGCACTCCTTTAAAGGCAAAGTAGGGCAGGAATATTTTAAGTCAAGTGTTAGCGATTGCTGTATGAGTCGTACGATTTTTGAATCAAGCACGGGCAACGCCGGACCATGCTGCTAGTACTACATAAGTTTTTCTCGGTAGTATTGCTGGTTCAGCAATGTCGTCGTGAAGATGGTTCCAATTCTACTCTCAGTTTCCATTTTGCTCAGTTTTCTTTCCAGACTCTTCTCTGGAATCCAATAATAATTGACTAGTTTGAAAAAAAAAAGAGATATTTATCAATCTTTTCAATTTCTTTTCAGATATAATCTGTGGCCTGTCAGAACAGCGAAAGCAACTGGCTTTCTTTAGTTTTAATAATGTTCAACGAATACAGTACCTAAGAGCCGCTCAAGGTAGGGGGTAACTAAATAAGGTTGTTTTATGCGCGTAAGAGGAGGAGAAGATAAGAAGGGCAGTTTATGAGGATGTGTAGGTAAGTAAACGGTTAAAACTCTAGACTTGATGATGTTAAGATTGTAGAGATTGGGAAAGCATACGTCTGGGAGTTTGTTCTACAAATGACGCTTTCTTTATCTTCTTTACAGCTGCCAGATCCAATCTTCTGGTATGGATTGGATGATCTGTTTGAATCTGAAAGTCAGAGGATTTGTCTCAGACAGTAACCGATTTGTGCTTATACAAATTGATTTTTAGCGATTATTATTATTATTAATTCCTTTTCGGTTTTTGTAAATAAAGTAGTTGTTAAATAACAATAAAAATGACCTTTCACAACACCTTTTGAAAATAAGTTTTTATCATGTACAGAATTGAAAATTCCAACTCTACAGGAATATTATGACAACTAGATAGATAGATAGATAGATAGATAGATAGATAGATAGATAGAAAAGATAGATTCAAGAAAGATAGATAGATAGATAAAGAAAGATAGATAGAATAAAGTAAGAATGAAAGAAAAAAGGTTAGAAACTTCAAAAATGATAGATAATGATAGATAGATCGATAATAGAAAGAAAAAAAAAGTCAGAACTCAAAGAAATGATCGATATATCGATAGTAAGAAAGAAAGAAAGAAAGAAAAGGTTAGAGACTCCAAAACTGATAGATAGATAGATAGATAGATAGATAGATAGATAGATAGATAGATAGATCTATAAGAGTACATGTTTGCTATGTGCTAATAAAAGCTTGAAAAGTCCTCTTTGTCTGTATGTGATTCAGTTCAATGCTATTAATCACTTATCTACCGGTGTGTTTTTTTTTTACTTCACACAATGCAAATTACATTAAAGGTTTTCTTTTGCTTACAAAGATTCTCCTTAAGAACCTCACCTCATAAAACCTTATCGTAAGCATCAACTCGTTTTCTTCATTTTTTAAACAATCTAAGTGAGGTAAACAGACAGATAATTCTAATTATTTTTTTCTTTTCTTTATCTTTCCTTTTGTTTCTTTACCTGTATTCCTCTTTCTACCTTCTCTCTCTTTCTTGATGTTACTCTCCTTTCCGTTCCACCCCTTTCTCAAACACTATACTTTTCTCTATTTGCCCCTTTTTCTGTTTCTCTCTCTTCTTCCTCTTTTTATATAAACTCGATATCACCCTCTTCTACATACTGTCCAATTTTCACTTTCCCTCTTTTTTTATCTTAACTTTTCTTTCTCTCCCATTATCACTCCTCACACTTCAACTCTTTTCCTCTACATCGCTTTCTCTTCATTTTCATTTCTCTCTCTATATGTATATATCTTATCCTTATTTCTCTGTTACTATCAACCCCTTCCTCTCTGTGTGCCTCTCTTTCTCCCTTCTCTAGCTTTCCCTCTCTTTCCCTTTGTTTTATTCTTCCCCTCTCTTCCAACGTTTGCCTTCTTTTCCTTCCTTCTCGCGCTCTTCCGTCTCTTTCGTCCTCTCTCTTACCATAAGCTTTCCCTCTACCTCTATTTCTCCCTTTGTGATTTTGTAATCGTTCTTTGTTTCTTTCTCCCACACCATGCTTTCCTCTATTTCCTTCTTTACTCCTTCTTTCTCTCTCACAACCGCGATACCACTCTCCTACTCATGCTCTCTTTTCTTTCTTACTCTTACTCTACTTCCTCTTCCCTTCTTTCTTTCTTACTCTACGTCCTCTTTTCTTTTCTTACTCTTAATCTACTTCCTCTTCCCTTTTCTTTCTTACTCTTACTCTACTTCCTCCTCCCTTTTCTTATTCTTACTCTACTTCCTCTTCCCTTTTCTTACTCTTACTCTACTTCCTCTTCCCTTCTTTTTCCTTACTCTTCCTCCTCCTTTTCTTTCTTACTCTTCTCTTCTTCCTCCTCCTTTTCTTCTTCTCTCTTCCTCCTCCTTTTCTTTCTTACTCTTACTCTACTTCCTCCTCCTTTTCTTACTCTTACTCTACTTCCTCCTCCTTTTCTTTTCTTACTCTTCCTACTTCCCTTTTCTTTCCTTTTCTCTACTTCCTCTTCCCTTTTCTTACTTTACTCTCCCTCCTCCTTTTCTTATTCTTCTCTACTTCCTCTTCCCTTTTCTTACTCTTACTCTACTTCCTCTTCCCTTTTCTTTCTTACTCTACTTCCTCTTTTTTTCTTACTCTACTTCCTCTTTCTTTCTTTCTTTCTTTCTTTCTTTTCCTCTCCTGACCTTTCACACAATCTCTTTTTAAGCACATTTACATAGTCAAATGCAGAATGGGGCCTGTTGTTTTACGAAACAACTGAATTTAGACAATCAATAAAAAAAGGTTCTTACTTCAGTGTCAAGTCAGAAACCCAAAACAAGCTGTTTATACCGAAATGATCAAAGAACAAAGAACAAAACTGATGTTCTTTAAAAGAAAAAAAAATCAAATTACAGGAAGCAATTACATTAAACGTTGTAAACATGCGTCGCACACGCACACACACACACACGCACACACACAGACACACACGCACGCACACACACGCACACACACACGCGCACACACACGCACACACGCACGCACACGCACACACACACGCGCACACACACGCACACACGCACGCACACGCACACACACACACACATGCACGTGTGTATTTTTCAAAATTGCCATGAAAATGTAATTTAAATTTTGACAAATTTATTATCTTCCAACCAAATTAAAAGGCTGACAAAATCATCAAGAGAAGAATAAGATTCACTCAGTATATTCAAATCAAGGTGAGTGTTACTGGCAAAGGGGGGTACCAAGATATCGTCTCTCTCTCTCTCTCTCTCTCTCTCTCTCTCTCTCTCTCTTATATATTATACACAAACAGTTGTTTCAATCTGTGTGAAACTAATCTTATTCAATACCTACTGTAAAATCACATCAAATTTGAAATAGAAAATATTATAATGCATATAATAGCCCTCTTCTGTCGGTAACATTTGCATTAATTCCTGACTATTGACAATCCCTCTTTTTATTTTCAATTTATTACTATAGTCGGGTGATTAGTTCGGTTTGTTTTGTTTTACGGCATATCAACACCTCAATGGGTTATTTAATGCCGACATTTTTTATTGCTGGGAATATTTTTTTTCAAAAATGCATTGCTGGTAACTTCTTTCCTTCAAAAATCTATTTCTGGGAATATTTTTTTCAAAAATGTATACCTGGTAATTTTTTTTTTTTTTAATGCATTGCAGTTAATATTTTTTTACAAATTATTTTTGGTAGTAAAATCTATTTTTACACTTTCATAGTGTTTTATCTCCAATTTGTGGGTTAACTATTTGCCCATAGCTGGGACCCTAACAGGTGCTACCACCCGCGTCAGGATGGACCTGGGAACACCAGTAATTGAGAGGTGGTTCCTGATCAGAGGTCTTGCTGTAAGGTGATTAATATTTTTTTTTATTTTACTCCGTACATATAATACTACTGTTCTATTAGCTGGCGTTAATTACTGGCTATAAATTGGTTAGTATTGCTTTCCGCAAATTATGTAGTGAAACTTGCTCAAATAATTTTATGACAAAATTTTTAATCATTAAATATTTTTGCTACCATCGGAAATATTAGGGTTTTAGTGCAGAAAATGACAAAGCGAATGCGTGTTGGAGGAAAATGGTAAACTATTTCGGTATCAATACTGATTTTCTAAGCCCGGCTTAGATGTGGCACAAGGCCGAAAGTATGGGGCACCCAGCAAGGATCTAACTCACTCGTAATTGATCTAGTAAGAACAACCATTACGCCACGTCGAGGTGCCCATATTTCGGTATCAATAACTTTATCTAGTCTGTGCTAAAATTGAAAAATTTCTAACATCAAAGACATACTGAATCATTGAATGTGTAATTATTTTAGGAAAATAAAATTTGCTTTTAAAAAATCCTACCTTTGATATCACATGTTGGCTGTATGTTGGATTAAATACAATGTAATAATAAGAACTATTTTGTGTCCATTTTTCGTATGAGGAAAGTGTCTGTATACCAAAAAGAAATTCGACATTCGAGCTTCGTTTGAAACGAAGACATTTCTGAATATTTATTGCTTGCCTTTTAATTCTTCCGTAATTTGTATGCATCTGTTTGTTTAGCGGCACATCAACTCCTTATGGGTCATTTAATGCCGAAATTTAATCTTTTACGGGCATTAGTAATTTTCTCTTCAAAAATGTATTGCTGATACTTTTTTTCACTATAAAAATGCAGTGCTGGTATTTTTACTATCAAAAATGTATTTTAATACTTTCATAGTGTTTTGACCCCAGTTTGGAACTACCACCCAAGGTCAACTTCCACGCTCTCCAAAACCTTCCACTCTGAGGCCTTGCTGCGGGATGTAGTTTATCGTCATACCCAGGACGAACATGCCTCTGTTGCTGTCCTGAATGTTGTTAATTACTATGTTTATCCTGGAACAAACCATAATTAAACTCATTCCTCAATTGTAACTATCAAACTTCTCGCTAACCATTGTGTTATATCGAGTAACCCACTCGAATGTTGTTGCCGTTAGAATAAGTTTAAGAGTCAATATGACTCCAAAGATTCTCGGTGGGATTCTGGTCACAGTAGAGTACTCAAGTAGAAATTTTCCAAGCGTAGCTTAGATGTGGCACAAGGCCGAAAATATGGGGCACCCAGTGAGAATCGAACTCACATTTCAGTAGTAACTGATCTAGCAAGCCAAGCTTGCTAACCATTACACCACGCCGAGGTGCCCAAGAGTACTCAAGTAACAGTTGTACTCTGTTGATTATTTATTATACAAAAGTACAAATAAGTCACATGGGGAAAATTGGGATGTGGGTAGGCGCGTCTTCACCTGTCTTATCGCTAATTTATCTAGCCTCAAATACTGACCCAACTGTCTGTAGATTATTCCTTTCATCAAAACATCACATCCACACAACACTGCCATATACATACACAATAATGCTACATTCACTCTAAGAAATCTTGCTTAATCTCCATATGTATACTTTTGTGGAGGGTTGGGTTGATAAAAATATAAAAACGTATCCCCCAATGTTCATGATATAAAAACTATCTATACAACTAAACAAAACTAATGCACCCCAACAGTGTAATCATGGCAGGGTTAACAGTAAAAAAAATACTGTGAGATTAATAAAAAGATTGCCTTGCACCCGTTCTACGATTACTCAAACTAGCCCTCACATATTTAGACACAATAACAATTAAGAAATCTCACACTCAAAAACGAAATACATACCACAGTTTAAGCAGAAAACTGCAATCCCTGTCACCTAAATGGGGAGGAGAATAAACCAAAGAAAAATAAAAATAAAGGCACCAATGACCATCCATACTATAGCTAAGTTAATCAACTTACACTAACCTAAAACTAAATGTTTATTCCAGGCGACTAATATCCTTATTTCAGCGTCACCTCCAGATGCTACTCTCAAGCTAACCAAACGCGAAATACTCAACCAATTTTTGACGAATTTTAATGAAGAGATTCGCCTCCTTTCTGCTCTAAATTTGACTTTAAGCTGGTGTTTAAAGAACAAAATTAGTTGAGATGACGAAAACTTCTCACCTCCATTAAACTCCTTCTCTCGGGTCGTCCAAATTACGATACGCATAATGCCAAGTAAACACAAGAACACGGTCTTCGTTCCTCTTCAGCTGCGACACAACATTGCTACAAACGGAACTGGCCTCGAGGACAAAGAACTTTCTGCGCAGGATGCGAAACATGTAGCCTTCAATCAGTTTGATGCTACAGTGGAAGAAGATGTGCCCCAACGACACAACCGCTCCACCGCAACCCACACACTTTGGGGTAACTGCCAGCCCCGCTGTACAGAGCTTTTTGCCAACATAGAGGGCATTTTGCAGCTTAACCGTTCACAGCTTAATGTACTGTGGTAAGTACAAGAAACATTCAGTTTATGATTTTTGCCTTTTAATATATGACTATATGCATGTAAACATCAAAGTGAATGGAAAAAATGATATCATAGTGTATTAGGTGCCGGATCACATTTTTATAAAAGCAGTGTTCATTGCCGTATGAAAACCAAAAAAAAAAAGAAAAAAAAACGTTTTTGTGCCTACAAGATACGAGGTAATCAACAGAATAATAAAGTAGATCTTAACATATTTTCTGCACATGGTAATGGAAAAGACAGAATTTTATTAATTCTTATAATAAAAATAAATAAACCGGTATTATGGTTGCCATAAAAATGATATCCCGAAGTTTTTCTTACAGAATTTCTTTTTAATTAATAGATTTATTAAAGAAATGAAAAATTACCAAGAATTTTATTGAAATCAAATTATTAACTGACTTTGGTATGAATAGTTAAAATCGACATGTAATTCGCTTAAGCATGTTCCAAGCTGTTATTCCTAGTTTTAAACGGTGTTTTAAAGTGCCAGGAACTCTTCAAAGACAAAAGCAAAAACCTTGTTCTGTACATTGACGATAATTAATATTTCTATCAAAGTATATTTTCTAATAAATTTGCTTTCGAATGACGCAAAGGTAATTACAATAAAAGGTGTTAGCATGTCGCCTTTTTCAAAAGTGTATGGCGCCAACTCCGGCTTATTAAGCAGGTTATATATTTCTCATCGATCAAAATAACGAGCGTAAATAAATAACTTGAAGAAGTTAGCATATTTTCTTCATATATACATATATACATATATATATATATATATATATATATATATATATATATATATATATATAGTCTTAAGGTATGCTATATTTATGGGATAAAGTGCTCAATATCAGAGATAGAGCGTGTGTAAATATAAAAGTGCATGATTGCATATAGCATGAAACAGACTGTCGCCTCTAAGTGTTGACTTCTATGTTCACTTTTATATATATATATATATATATATATATATATATATATATATATATATATTAAGAAATGGACAAGGTCCGACAATTTATTAAAGACATTTTTTTTTATATTTTAACGTTGTTATTTATAGATACAAGTATTTAAGCAAATGCTCTGTTTATTTAATACTGTTTATCATAAACAGAGCATTTGCTTAAATACTTGTATCTCTAAATAACAACGTTAAACATAAAAAATGTCTTTATATATATATATATATATATATGTATATATGTATATATATATGTATGTATATATATATATGTATGTATGTATATATATATATATACATACATATATATATATATATATAATTATATATATATA